GTGTGTGTGTGTGTGTGTGTGTGTGTGTGTGTGTGTGCAGTAAAGTCCCAACCCTGCTCGTGTCGTAACTGCCGATCAAAGAGGGTGCGTGCACGTAGAGATAATAATACAGAAGTAAAGAGAAAGGAAAGAGTAAAAAACCTGATAAGCAACCCTCTACATAACAAACAAAATACAGTACCGCAGAGACGTTCAAAGGATAACTCGATCAAAGGATAGTGTCCTGATACAAACTGTCACCCTTTTTCGTCGACGTGAATCATCTCTAACTTGCTCTGTCACTGTCGCAGCTCTTCGTTCTTCACAAAAACTGCGCTGCAAAGCTTACCCGGGGGCTCTCAAATCGTTGCTTGGTGGTCCAACATCGGTTGGAGTAAGAGTAGGATTCGGCCGCCGCCCGGGAAAAATTCCAAATTTCCTATCACCTGAAAATGTTTAATGTGCCCCGTGCCCTCATATGACCTTTTGCAGTTGCGAGCGCCGTAAAACACTTACCTAACAAAAATAAAAGGAGCTTACCCACCATGGGCGCCCAAATGAAAGGCAAATCACCAGTCTAGCTGAGATCGAGCATTTGTGACACCTCCCCCCTTCCCCCTTTTTCCCCTCCCCATCCCCAAACCCTATACAAATGCATACACTTGTTGTCCTTTAACTTGGCTCCATATTTGAGTCAAATCGCTACCTCAGATCTACAAAGTTCTATCTGACACCTTTGACCGTTTTTAGTTACTATAACTTTAAGACCATTTGGGTCAGAAAGATAGATCAATGCTCTACCTGCTTCTCTCTCAAAACCATAAGAATATTCGGGGTCGTTATAAAGATATTCAAAGAATTGCATTCGAAAAAAAACAACCCTGTTATGATAATATTTTTGAGGAACTAACAAAATCTGACTTCAGTTTTTTTCAAAACTAGACATTGAGAAGATAGAACTTTGAAATTTTGAGGTAGCCAAATAATGAGCCACATGGTGAATTGGCTTTAGTTCAGAACACACGCTCAAGGATCATGTTATAATACAACCCAATTCTCTTGTCGGAAAACCTGATTGCACATTTTTATTCGTACACCCAATTACAAGTCTCTTTTTCTTTATAGTCGCCTAGGGTCTGTCTGAATTAATTTCAAATGTGCTACCTTCAACATCTCCCCCCCC